CATTTAATGACAAACGTCTAATTTAAGTGATATATGTCATATAGGCACGGGTGGCGCTAGCATTTTTAGGTTTTCGAGATATCTAACCTCCAGACATGAAGCTCCAAAAATTTATATGTTTTTACTTATGTCAAATAAGGATGCTTTGCAAAAAATTGCGATGATTGGAGCCTAGTGTTATTATTATTATTATTATTGCTATTATTGTTAGTTGACATTTATTGATAGTTGACATTTTTACATAAAAATTTAATAGCTCTATATTAGGCTAATTAAAGTCAACTCAAACAATTAAAAAGATTCAAAAAAAATACTTAAATAAATCAATAGTAAAAATCAAAATTAACGAGTTATTTAAAGCTTGCATAAACTAAACTTGCGACTTTATAAATCCAATGTCTTTGACATAATTTGAAAGGACAGTATTTCGGAATCCAAATTTTGATTTTTATTTCAAATTCTTTCAGAGTTAATGCAGATTTGCAACTCATTGGTACCAAATTCCAAATGATGATCCCAAATGCGAAAGAGAGTCTAGACTATATTTCTTAGTTTGTATTTTTTTATATACAAATTTATCCCCACTTAGAAAAGTTTTGTGAAAACGAAAAATCTCTTCCATCAATTTAAGGACAAGCCCCAATTTAACTTTTAAAATTTTCGTAACCGATACATGTAAATTCTTGTGGTGTATAGTTTTCAAACCATTTCTTATAAGTAGTTCTTCAAAAGGAGATTGGTAGTCTTGATATACAATTTTAAGGGCTCTTTTGTGTATTCTGTTTATATGATTGTTAAGTTTCTGCTATGAAACAACCAAACTAATGGACAATAAGAAAAATAAGATGTAATAAAAGCGTCAAGTATAAGTTTTCTTTGATTCAAAGACAAAAAAAGCGAGTCTGGAGAGCGCGTTAACTTTTTGACTTGCTGATTTACATTAATTGTTAACATGGTTATCAAAAGAATGTTTATTATTCAACATTATACTAAGCAATTTTTCATTATCAGATGAGACTATTTTCCTATCACAGATGTTAACTTTAAGAGAGCTTGTTTTACAAACAATAATATGATATTTATCTGGATTTGCGTTTTGCAGGTCACTCTCAACAAAATTTAAGTAATTTGCTCTGAAAGGAGTGTTATCATCAGCATATCTTGCAATATCAAGATTGGATAAAAATAGAAATAGATCACTTATAAAGATATTAAATATTAAACCCTTGTGGAACGCCAAACAAAATATTAGTGTAATGGACCTAAAATTGAACCTTGTGGAACGCCAAACAAAATATTAGTGTTAGAGCTGTATCGATCTATTTTTTTTTTACTCTCTTTTTTTTAATTACTAAGATACGATTGAATGAGCGTTAATGCGTTTTTGCTGAAATCATACACATTCAATTTAGCAATAAGGAAAGCATGCGGAATGGAATCTTTTTTTATTTAGGCATTTTCTTCATTTCTCAGTCATAGTTATTAAACATTGTTGAGCGCTATGGTTTTTACGAAAATCGTATTGTTAAGAAATTTTGTTTTCAAAAAAGCTGTTAAAAACCTCATATATTCACTTTTCATACACCTTTGATATGTTTGGTAGTATTCTGATAGGTCGGTAATTATTTTTATCAGTTTTTGAACCTTTTTTAAAACATTTGCAATTTTTAACTGATCAGGGAAGCAGCTATTTATAACGGCGTTGTTATAGCAACTATATAAAACAACGTTGTATAGTCAGTAAACAAAGTCGGTAAAAAATTTTTCTTTTATAATTTTAGTTGATATGTCAGATTTTTGTTTTGCTATTGAATTTTTCAATTCGCACATATATTTTCTTATCTAGTCGATTTTTTTTGGTTTTAATGTAAAAGATGAAGAATTTTTATATAATTTTTGCATCTCAAGTATACTTGGGTGTGTTGAGTATTGAATAATGGAGTCCTCCACCGGGTCATATGTGAACAAAAAGCCCAAAAATTTTAGCCTCCCCTCTCTCAAACGTGAGAGCAAAAACTTGATGAAATATTTTTTGTACTATTTTCGACTATACTTATATTCATTGAGAAATTTTAAGTTTCTTAGTATAATTTCTCAGCGCTCAAAAATTATGACCATATCAAATTTGCAGCCCCCTTTTGTAAAGCATCCTTGTTTGACATAAGTATAAAATAAAAAATATAGCAAAAAAATTTGCTAAAAACTATAATCTTTTTTGAACTAAAAAGTAAAAAATAAACTTTTTGATTAAAATTTAATAGTTCAGTAAACTAAAGATTGACAGGTCTGCACAAGATTTATTTAGAAACATACCTGTCAATCTTTAGTTTACTGAACTATTAAATTTTAATCAAAAAGTTTAGTTTTTACTTTTTAGTTCAAAAAAGATTATAGTTTTTAGCAAATTTTTTTGCTATATTTTTTATTTTCTACTTTTTAGTCTTAACAAATTTTTCATACGAAATACAAAACTAAAAAAAATTATTAAAAAAATTAAAAA